GCAGTCCAGAAACTTCTCGTGGTTCAGGGTGGGCGCCTCCCTGCAGGGTGCGGGCATGGACAGCCTGGGGCAGGGAAGGGGACGGGAGGGGGTCGGGGGCAGCATGGGCCTCCAAGCCTGGGTGCCCTCATTCAGGCTGCTGTGTAACCTTGGGCGAAGTCTCCTCACCCTTCAGGGCGCTGTCCCCTGCTGAGTGGCCTCTGTCTGCAGAGGTCCCCAGCACCCACCACTGTGGCTCTGTGATCCCTGCCCCTCCCCCAGCCGAGCAGTCTGTCAGTCTGGGTGATTTATGTCCCTGTCCTCTCCACCCAAGCCAGCCGGGACTCTTCCAGGAAAGCAGACCTGCGTGTCGGGGCCCCATCCTGGTTGTGGGCCAGGGGCCAGGGGAAGGGGAAGCTGAGCCCCCTGAAACGGTCCCTGGGCGATGCCGGGCTCTGAGCTGACCTGGGCTTCGAGCAGACAGTGGGTGGACAGACCTCCAGCCCCGGGACAACAGGGACCAGCCCACAAGTTTAGTATCACCCTGGCTTCAGGGCCGAGGCCGCTTCACACAAAACCTCTCGCTGCGAACTGGGGCAGCCCGCCGGGCAACTCCAGGGAGCACGGGGTCGGGGAGGGGTGGGCACCCTTGGACAGGGAGGGGAGATAAGGCAGGGCCGGCGTCTTTGTTCTGAGCCACAAGCCAAGTAATTCCCAGTGTAGACAGGGAGCAGACTCTCCTGGAGATCAGGTGACTGGGGTCCCGGGGGGCTGGGGGCGACACAGTGCATTGTGGGGCAGAAGCCACTCTGTGCTCGCCGGGCAGGAAGGAAGCACGCGTTCCGGGTGGAGGGGGTGCGGCCGGTGGGCCCACGTTCAAAGTCACCTCCAGCCCTGGCCCCCACCTGCCAGGCACCCAGCCGCCTCCCGGGGCCGAGCCAGTCTCCCTGTTACACAGACAGTTCTCTGGTTCTCAGGAGCCTGAGCGTCTGAGCCGCCCTGAAGGCTGCCTGAGAGCTCCAGGGAAGAGGCCCCCAGTAATCTAGAACGGGCTAGGGGAGGGGCAGGAGGCACTGGAGGGACTCGGCAAGGCCTCAGGAGCATGGGGGCCAGCTGGCGCTGAGTCTGCGTGCCGAGTCAGGCAGAGCGGCCCGCAGGCCTCCTCGGGCTCTAAGGCAGGGTGTCAGAGGCACGGCCCCAAGCACAGGGTCAGAACCACACAGGCCAGGGGCAATGGGGGGACATGAGGGGACTGTGCCCTCTGCCACCCTGTATGATGCCACAGCATACAGGCCAGCCCCAGCCACAAATATCTGCCCCCAGGCCCCGCACCTGCCTTGTGGGAGGTGAAGACACGAATGTGTGAACAGACGATGTGGATTGCAGGCTGCCAGGGCTGCAGGACCCACAGAGCTGGGCACGAGTTTGGGGCACCCCGCTGCGCCACGTGGAGATGCCAGAGGAGAAACTTCGCAAAGGCCTGGATCTTTGTCTGCTGAAGGCTTAGAGCCCCAAGCCTGGAACACTCCTAGCCTGGAGCAGGTGCTCAAATCACTACTGCATGCATGCATGAATGAATGAATGAATGGGGGAGGACAAAGAGTAGAGACAACAGGAGCAGTCGGTCTCCAAGAAAACTCAGCCCAGGCAAAGTCGAGGGCAGCCACGACCCCCTCCCCCCACAAGTCCTGGGCGCTGGGCGCTCCCACTATCGGAGGGAAGATGCGCTGGCCAGGCCTCCATGCAGGTGCAGGGCAGCGTGGGAAGCCCACTGGAAGCCCGTGGTGTCAGGACTGCCCGGGGAGGGAGGGAGGGTCCCGTGCGGCCCGGGCTAGGTGGTTCTGGCACCCAGCAGGCGCTCAGCCGATGTTTAGGAAGGAAAACGAACCAGTAAGAAGACGGACAAGCCACAGGGGCTGCAGTACCCCCTCCTCCCTGAGGGTCCCAGACCCTCAGGAGCACACTGCAGCATCCTGACGGGCCAGCCCCAGGAAGTCTACCGGACTGGGCCCACTCATGAAATGACTCCTGTGGCTGCTAGTTAGGAAGCAAGAGCCGGGGGGAGGAGAAGGGAGGTCAGAGGTAACTTTTTTCGGCCCCTTTTCCACAAGGAGAGTTCCTGGGCTGCAAACCAAAAGGTTGGAGGTTCGAGTCCCCCAAGAAGCACCTCGGAAGAAAAGCCTGGTGATCTACTTCCAAAAAACCAACCTTTATAAAAACTCTACGGAGCACAGTTCTACTCTGACACACACAGGGTTGCCATGAGTCAGAGCTAACTCAGTGGCAACTGGCAGTGGTTTTCACAGGGAGTGAGACCAAGGCAGCCACCTCCTGAGAGTCATGGCCGTGTGCTGCCCCCGCCCGCATGGCACCAGGGTTGATGTGTTCGGTCAGTGGAACGCAATGGAAGTGAGTATATCATGTCCAGCAGTAGGCCACAGGAAAGACTGCAGCCCCCAGCTCGGCTGTGCACACGTATGCATCCTTTCTCTCTTATTACTCACTCTGGGGGAACCCAGGTGCCATGTTACAAGGACACGTGGGCCATCTGTACAAAAGCCCACGTGGCGAGGAACCAGGGTCTCCAGCCAACAGCCACCCAGGAACTGAAGCCAGCCAACAGCTGCGTGAGGGAGCCTGGAAGCGGCTCCTCCAGCCCCAGTCAAGCCTACGGATGATACAGTCCTCACCGACAGCTTGACTGCAAGCAAGCTCAGGAGAGGTCCTGAACTGGAACCCTCCCAGTTTAGCCACTCTGGATTCTGGACCCAGAAACTGAGAGCTAACAAGTGATCATTATTTTAAGTTGTTGAATGCGGGGGCTATTTGTTACACAGCCATAGCTAATGAATACAAGGACCCCAGAGGAGGGACAAGCTCCCCACCAACCCTGGCTGCTGCACCAAAAACATCACTCAAGGTCGATGGCCTGGCTGGCTGGCAGGCGCTAAGAGAAAACTCAGCAGCCCCCCTGGGGAGGCGGCCCAGGGACTCACCTAACTCGGTCGGCTTCAGCAGTTCATCCAGCATGTTGAAGAAGGGCAGCTTCACCAGGCGGACTTCTGGCTTGAGGGTTTTGGCAGGCAACCGTCCAAGTCCATTTAAGTACTTCCCGTAGAGTACGGGGTAGTCAATGTTGGGCCCCGAGAGGGGTGTCCTGGGCAGCGTGCCAGCCCGGTCATAGGCCGAGTGCATGGTCAGGGGGTCCAGGGGCCGGTGGGGCTGCGGGACGGGCTCGGCGTTCTTCTTGGCGTAGCGCGTCTCATACAACTCCTTGATCTTCTTGAACAGCTCGGGGCTGCAGTCAAACTGGACCAGCTGCAGGGCCCGTGTGACCAGTTCGTGCTTCAGTCCGCTCTTACTCCGCCCGACGAAACCCAGGAGCATCTGAAGGTCGGAGACTCGAAAACTCATCACCATGTTCTGGGGAAGAGCAACCACACACAGACACATGTGCGTGAGAGCAGCCACATCGGGGATCTGCCGCGACACGGGGCTGCCCCAGGGCCTCCCGGGCCCAGACTGGGGGACTCCTCACAGAGACACTTTCCAAGCAGCATCTAAACCCACTGCTGTCAAGTCGACTCTGACTCATGGTGCCCCCGTGTGTTACAGAGTAGAACTGTACTCCACAGGGTTTTCTTGGCTGTGATCTTTATGGAAGAAGGTTGCCAGGCTGTTCTTCCGCAGTGCCGCTGGGTCGGTTCAAACTGCCAACCTTTGTTTAGGTCAGTAGTCAAGAGCAAATCATCTGTGCCACTTGGGGACCTAGCTGTGCCTACCCGCAAAAACCCAGTGCCACTGAGCCAACCCTGACCCATAGCAACCCTACAGGCCAGAGTAGAACTGTCCCATAGGGTTTCCAAGGCCATAATCTTTATTGAAACAGAACGCCACAGCTTTCTCTCGCAGCTGGTGGGTTCGAACCACTGACCTTTTGGTTGGCAGCCAAGCGCTTAACCACTGCGCCACCAGGGCTCCCTTGAGCTGTACCCACTCCATGGGAATCCATCAACTGCTGCCCCCCCCCCACCACTCCCCTCACTTCTCATGGGCTCCAGTCCTGGCCCACCTCCACGCTACTGCTCAGGCTGATGGCTCACCCTTCCAGTGACACCGCCCCTCCCAGCTCCAGTCTGTCCCTCCTTCTCTTCCTCCTCCCATTACAGCTTCCTCAGCAATGTCAACACAGCAAGAGCCTGGCTCTAGCTCCCACCTCACGACCTTCTAGTTTAGGTTTTTTCTCCCATTTTCCAGCCTGAAAGCATCTACAGGACAGGAACTGGGAGTCTTGCTTTACTGTAAACAGCTGCAGCCACTCCCTAGCTAGCCAACGCTGACAGCCTCTTGGACCCTCAGTCTCTTCCTCAGTCGTGTGGAGATGGTAACAGTACCCACCTCATGGGGACGCGGAAGGGACCAGATTAGGTAACCACGTAATGCACCTGGCAGAGTGCATGCTCGAAACGTCAGTCACAACCATGTTTTCCCCTCGGTATAAGTGATGGTACACCAAAACCCAAACCCACTGCCGTCAAGTCGATTCTGACTCATAGCGTCCCCGTAGGACAGAGCAGAACGGCCCCATACGGTTTCTAAGGCTGTAATCTTTACGGAAGCAGACTGCCATGTCTTTCTCCCGCGGAGTGGCTGGTGGGTTCGAACTGCCAACCTTTAAGTTAGCAGCCGAGTGCTTAACCACTGTGCCACCAGGGCTCCTTTAAATGGCGATATCCACAGTTTACTTAGCTCTCACTACCTGCTGGGAACTGGGCTGGGCTACACATACACGGAGCTCTGAGCCTTAAAACACCACCGCGAGGCTGGTGTTAGCTACCCGTCACGGGAGGAAGCAGAGGCTCAGGAAGGCAGTGCCCAGAGTCAAACCCAGGCCCTACCCTGAAGGCAAGAGTGGTCCGTCTACCATGATGTCCCTGGGCATCAAACGGGCACCGTCAATGCCTCCAAACTGTCTGCTGATCTCAACCTCAGCACTGCTGACATGGGGGCCGGCTCCTTCGGTGGGTTGGAGCCGTCCTGTGCACTGTAGGGTGCTGAGCAGCATCCCTGGCCTCCACCTACTCGATGCCAGTAGCACCCCACCAATTGTGGTAACCGGAAATGTCCCCAGGCATCAGGGAGCAGAACTGGCCTTAGCTGAGAATCACGGGTCTAGGGGAAATCTTTGGAGACCCGGCAGCTGGAGAGGCTGCTAACTGAGCCACGGAAGAGTGATGACTGGGGCTTGGCATGGCCTGGCCTCATGACCTGGCAGGGTCCCCCCACCCCCCGGCCTGAATCAAACCATAACGGAAGTGCTCAGTGGATCTCAGTGTTTGATCTGGGAATGGCGGGGGGTAGGGCTGCCGACGACAGGACCCCAGGAGACAAGGGGAAAGAGGGCGCCCCAATCAGCTACAGCAGGAAGGTGTCCTCAGGGAAGGGGCTGGCATGGTTTCAGGGCCACCTACACTGAGCACCCAGCTAGCCTGGGATGAATGAAAAGTGGTGGGAAAAAGAATCTTCCAGAGGGGATGGGAAAAAAAAAAGGTACAAGTTGCAAGGGAGAATATGGAAAACTGGCGCGCCAGGGCAGGACATCACCCAAGAAACCAACGACTCGCTTCAACTCCACTGGAAAAATCGGGAAACACTGACAGTCGGGCCGGGCGGTGACCCCATCCAGGTGTTTATATAGCAAGCTCGGGGGCCTCCGCTGTTTGCCCCGTTCCTGGCCACTGCAGCACATTTTGGTGCGGAGTCTGACAGCAGCCCCAGGATATCAGGAGCCCTGGGTTCAAATCCCGACCCTGCCCAATCTGCCAGATGGCGCTGGGCCAGCGGCCAGGCCTCTCTGAGCTAGGCGCCTCACTGTCAGCGTGAGCAGGGAGCTCACTAGAAGTTCTCTGGCTCTACAGTGCCGGGCGGCTACAGGCAAAGGCACCTCCGGGCTCCAACGACAGGGCCAAGCTGCAGAGCGGCCCCGTGCTGAACGTAAACTAAGATGAGGGCTTTCCCGCGTCCCTCTATTCCTGCCACAGTGGACGCAGAGTGCCTCATACGTGCCAGGCATGGGGAAGGGCTTCTTGACATTGCTGATCCGTTAACGAGCGTGCCCACTACACAGGTGAGGAAGCTGAGGCTCAAAGAGGGGAAGAGGCTGCCCGAGGCCACCCTGCTTCTAAGTGGCAGAGCCGCCGGCATATAGCTCCTGAGGCCATCTTCCCCCTGCTTTCGCCCACCTGCCTGGGTGTTGTGGGACCCTTACTCACCAGGACACCCCCACCTGGGGACCTAGACATGCCCGGGGACCTGAGCGGCCTGCTGGCCCTCAGCGAGTCTGGATGCCTCCCACCTTCAGTGAGAAAAAAGCCACGCAGACGTTTCTTCTGGAAGACGCCCAAGGCCTGACGGGGGAGGTGATGCCATGGGGGGGGGGGGGCGCGTGACCACCCACTACTAAGCCACAAGCAGTGTGTGAGCATGACCACACGGATGAGCAACATCAGTCGTCCCCTGGGAGCCCCCGGCCACCCCTGCACCCAGGCCAGGCAGCGACAGGGCCGCACAGGCAGCCGACAGCACACCCCTTGGGCTTCCATATGATCACGACTCAAATTTCCCAGCAGCTGCCACCACTGAGCAGCCTGCCCTTGGCGCTGATAGGGGGGGCGGGGGTGGACGTTCAGGAAGAACCCCACATGCCGCAGAGAGCACTTCCTGCTGTGGCTTCATCCAGGCCCGCCAACCCGCCTCTCAGAACCCTGCTTATAAACAGCCTCCAGAGCAGAGCTTCAACTGTGGACTTATTTGCAAGCCACATGGAGACACCAGACTCCAGCAGCCGTGCTGAACCTGGTCTCAGTCATGGGCTTCTCTGGGAATCGAAGGAAGGCGGTGGGCTCACGCTCCAGAGAAATGAGAGGTTGGCAAGACTGCTGCAGCCCCCGCCCCCACTCCATCTCCTCGTTTTCAAGTTAAGAGTCTCAGATTTCAAAGTTTATCGACAAATCCCATGTTCTGTTTTGCACCCCAAAACAAATATCCAGCTCGAAATAGGAGGGTCTAGGGAGAGAGAGGAGCAGTCTCGGGAACCCCAGAGCTAAACAAAAAAGGGGGGGTGGCGTTTCCATTGCATCTAATGTGCTCTAAGAGGGGAGCAAAAGACTAAAGGAGAAAAAAGGTGTCTAGGATCCGGGAAGCTTGGCTGCAGCCAAGTGCTCCCAAGGGAGGTCCATGTTTTACAGGACTTGAAAGAAGGGTCAACTCGATTTAATTGGGGGGTAGGGGGCCCCCAGCCACCAGAGGGTCAAGCAGAGTTCATGAGATCACATTTCAAGGCCCTGGACGGTATAAGAGAGTGCGGCCCCTACCCTCTGGGGGCGGAGGGGCCCAGGGTCACAGCTCCACAGCCCCATGAGGAGGTTAGATTTCAGGGCTCTGGGGGGCTTCAAGTGGGCAGGTTGCTGCCACATTGCCAAGGCAAAGTGGCAATTTCTCGATTGCCCCTAGAGAGGAGCAGGAGCGTGGGTACTGTGTGGGGGGTGGGGGCTGGGGGGGAGATACAGGCTATAATCACAGAACCATGAGAGCTCTGTTCAGATCCCAGCAGGAAGGGAGGTGGAAGCAAAGAGGGAGGGGCAAGAAGAATACAAGCATTTGCAGGGCAGGGCCTTGGGGAGGGCACCCTGGGAGGAGCGGGGTAGGGCAGTGACTCCGTCCTAGAAGGAGGTCTAGGCTCCTCTACCCTACCTCACTTCTAAATCAAGGCGAGCGTCTGTCTGGGGCCTTGCCTCGGGAGAGAATCCGGAAGAAGGCAGATTCCTTGGGTAGGGACGCTCTGAGCTCCATCCCAGGAGGGTGAAAAGGGGCCCCAAGCTACCAGAGGGGACCACCGTCTCCAGGGGTGCAGAGCCTGGACCCCTTGATCCAGAGCGTGGGGAAGAAACCCAGGGAGCTATTTCCTCTGGAACCAGTTGGGGACCTTCCAACGATCAATATAAGAGAAAAAGAGGGACTCAAAAGCCAGATCTGAGCCTCCTAAACGGCCAGTCCTGGGGCTGAATGGGGTGGAAAGGACCCTGGACCAACAAGTTAACTGACTGCTAGGGAGGACAGCATAGGGGAAACAACCAAGGTTTGGAAGTAGGATCTGATGGCACGAGCGTGGGGTTTAGAACCCCTAGAAGTGGAGTCACTCGCTCTCGATGCTGTCCTGAGGAGAATAAGGAGGAGAAGGAAGAGCCCTGGGCGCGACGCCGAGAAGGCGACTTAGGAGGCCTCCGACTAACAACACGGAGGGCTCCGTCCCAGGGGGCGGGGCTCTGGGACCCAAGGAGGAGACCAAGCGGGACCCCAAAACCAAGCCCGGGGCACAGACCGCCAGCAGGTACAGTATTTGGGGTGGTCCAGCACCCTAGCCCCGCAGCCTGGGATGGTGGTGGCGGCGGCACACGGCTGGCGTCAGGGGACCCTTCTGAGCTGGGTTCACTGCGCCGGGGGATAAGCCCCAGATCCTAGTCCTCCATGCCATGGGGAGCGGGCGCGGGGGAGACGCAGACACTCCCCAAGGCCCAAGAGCACGGACCCAGCTCGGGACGAGGAGGGAACGAGAACCCCAAGCCGTCACGCTATCCGGGGGGACCCTGCCTCAAGCTGGGAGGCGCGGCCCTGTCCCCGAGTTTAGGGAGCCCCGGACCGCGGCCGCTCTTGGGGGATTGATGGGTCCCCGATCCCCGGCGGGGTGACGGGGGTGAAGGGTTGGGGGCCCCGCCCC